ACCTACACCTTGGAAATAATATAGTAAAAACACAGACAGTTCATCATGGGAGTGCATCCAGGCCCTATTAGAATAGGTTTTGGGGGGCATATCCTCATCTTTGATTTTTAATTTTGTCTGTTTGTGAACTTCTTATCAGCAAACAATAGGTAGATGGTACATTCAAAAATTATACCAATGTATACTTAGATTCACATCTTGGAAATTTAGAGTTGGGCTTCAGAGTTCAAAATGAACATATGGGGAGTAATTCTTGAACTTCTTGTGAATGGGTCCGAGCCAAACAACTGTAGGCCAGACAGATGGTTTGCAGTCACAGAAATGGGTCTCTGTATCTTCTCCTATTTTATTACATTTCCTGACCCTTAAGATCTTCTTTTTTGAATGACAAAAGAAACTATGGCAAGAAAATGGCAGGAAAGCCATATACCATGCAGTATTCTACTGAAGCAAGTAGAAGAGCCATTGAATTATTAACAGACATCAAAATAAAGTTGAGAATTGTGCTGGGAAAGAAACATGAGGAACAATATTAAAACCCAAGTGAGGATCTTCTTAGATCTGAGATCTGCCAAAATGAAGGATACCCATCAAAATAAGTGCTTAACTTCAGGGTAGTTATAGGCTTTAAAACAAAAGGCACAAAAAGTTTAAGGCTGATCTTAAAGGCATCAGAACAAACAAACAAAGCTCTTTGTACTGACAAGAAAACTGGAAGCATTTATTGTTGGTATCATTCAAAAGTATGATACATGGTAGGAGTTCACTATATAGCTGCGTCTTTTCAAACCAAAACCTACTGTGTGTAACCCTGCATTAGGTGACAATCACTAAGTACTGCAAAGGCAACACTATGATATATTTCTCCTCTCTCCTCCTCCAGGACTCACTTGCTCCCAAAGAACCCAACCCATAGCCTCTTAGCATTGCATAGAAAGGGGCAGTGCAGGTGGGGCTCATCTGAAGGTCCTGCAGCCAATGTCAGCATCTTCTGTGTCTGGCTAGATCAGGCCTGGGCAGACTTTTTTTGCCAGGAGGCAGGTGTTGCAATCCAGAGCAGGGAACGAGGCCCTAAGATAACTATCCACCACACTTGGCTGTGAAAAACAAT